TTTTTTTTAGCTTTTCTTAGCTTTTCTTAGCTTTTCTTAGCTTTTGACATGTTCCATGGTTTTCCTGTACTTTTCCTGCCATGCTGAAGACGCCCGCTTAGAAGCGGCATGGGATGTGTTTTTATGAGTTTAGGGTGGTACAAGATCACTCTAGCCCCTATAAGACACAAAGGCAAAAGCTAGCCCTAAATCCTAAACCTTCAACCCGGAGCCCTACCAAGACCCGGTAAAACCCGACAGCATGAATTTCGGTCATGGGGTAGGGTTTAGGGCTTAGGCAAGAAACCCTGTACACTTTACACTCTGAGACCTGGTTGTGACCCGAAAAAATCGAATTCCAAAGCCATTGCTAGACCCTTACATGTGGAGTTACAGCAACCCTCATGCCCTTACAGAACCCTTAACCCCTTGTAGAAGCTTTCTCATATCCCCATAGAGCCCCAGAATCATCTAAAGCTCTAGGGCACCCCATCGAACCAGGAACCTTCACGGACCACCAAAAAGTCCAAACCCTAAAAGCCCCCTATACATTCCACTTTTTTTCGGGTTCAGGGTTTAGGGTTTAGGGGCTGTTTTGGCAACATGCAAGAGTGATGCAAAAAGGGACTTCAAAAGAACCCTAAACCCTAAACCGAACCCTAAACCCTAAGCACCAAATCCTAAATCGAAACCCTAAACCCCTAAACCCTAAACCAAACCCTAAACCTTAAGCCCTAAATCCTAAATCGGACAAAAAAAAGACAAAACCCTACAAGCCCCTTACAAATGCCACCTTTTTGGGTTTAGGGGTACTTCATAAAGCAATCCCAGAATCCTAAACCCGAAACCCCTAAACCCCTAAACCCCTAAACGGTTTAGGGTTTAGGGTTTCAGGGTTTAGGGTTTAGGGTCAACCCTAAACCAAGCCCTAAATCGCACATAAAGAAAGCAACCCCAGACCTCTGCGCAGGCAAAAAGGCGACGCCGCCTCCCTGCAGCTGGCAGCTGCCCAGGAGCGCTGCAACGCGTTCGAGGCCGGATTGCTGGGTCTCAAGGATTTGAGGATTTAGGGCTTAGGGTTCAGGATTTGGTTTAGGGTTTAGGGTTTTTTGTTTCAAAAAAATAAAGGATTTTAGGATTTAGGGTTCAGGGTTCAGGTTAGGGTGTAGGATTTAGGGCTTTGGGTTTAGGGTTTAGGGTTTGGTTGAAGGTTTAGGGTCAAGGATTTAGGCTTCAGGCGCCCTGCGAAGCAAGAAGCCTGAGGGTTTCTCAGGATTTAGGGCTCAAGGGGTTTACAGATTCCCCCTAAGAGGTCCTATGCAGCTCAGGAGGGGTTTATTTGAAGGACACTAAAGCTTTAGGGCGCCTATACTGGTTTCTATGCTCCTTTACGTTTTCATGTGCAATAGGCTTCAGGAATTGGGGTTTGAGGTTTAGGGTTTGGAGTTTGTGGTTGAGGTTCGTGGCGTAGAATTGTTAAGTTAAGAGTCCGGGTTACTACAAAGGCTTACGGTGTTGGGTTCGGGGTCCGGGTCCCGGGGTGCCGGCTGAAGGGGTATGGGATTTGGAAATTCAGGAGGGGGTTCAGGATCTAGCTCTTGGTTCAGAGGGTTTGGGCTGATGGCCTGCTTTTTGGGGGGTTTTGTCCATTAGCATCACTAGCAGGAAGAATTGTTTTTTGCCTCGAAGTTCCCATGGGGCTAGTGATAGTTGGATCAGCTGTCATGGCATTGGTGATTGTAGGACGACTCGTCATCAGTAGCATGAAAGTAACTCGCAAGAACGAAATGAGAGGTCTGTACCTAAACTGACAGTGAAGCTTACAGCCAGTCGTGTTCGTGATAAGAGCCAGTGCTTATATGATGGTAACCACATCACTTGAGCACAGGTCATCTCCCGCACAAGAAGACACCCCATCCCGACCAAGCAAGACGGCGAGGCATTTTGAACAAAGACGTACCAGCAGCAGTCGTCGTCGTGGTAGTGGCATTAGCCGCAGCAACACGACTGGCCGCCACCTGCCTTTGTGTAAGTAGCTCGTAGCTATTCTTAGCATTGCGAAAAGCAGCATCAACCCCCGACGCGTTATCATGGCGTGATCCTAAGAACAACCTTGAATTCAAACACCCCGTGAAGTGCTGTTGGCTCGCTTGCGCGGCTTCTGCAAGGTGAGCAAAACGGAGAAGGAGAAAGCTGTTGAGGCCCTGGGTGCTTTCTCTTCAGATAGGTGTTCAAATGCAGTGCAAGGTCACGATAATAGCCATTCTGGTTTTCTTCAAAATTCCAAACTTACGCACATGTATGAATGCATGCATAGATGCATGCAAATGTACGTGCGTACTGAATTATGCACACAGTGCACATGGCCTGGAATGCTACGTCTGAGCTCTGTCCGTCGAAACCGCGAGAGGCCGTGATAGCACGCAATATCAAGAGGGGCCCTAAACCCTAAACCCTAAATCGCATTCTTCCCACAGTGCCCACTTGCGAAAGGGTGCTACGCTGCTTGTGCTACGCTGCTTAATGTTTCTCGTGCCCTGTCGTATGTTCATTCATTGCTAATAGAAAGGTCTGAACAATTAACTAGTAGCACTATCCTCTTATGTTTCCTATAAAGTTACAGAAGTGAAGAATATACACCAAACCTGTTCTCTAATCATTCAGGATCTGGCCTGACGGCTTCGGGGTTGCCCAGCACAGGGCGTCCCAATTCAAGCTGCACCGAACTGCAAGAGGCAGTAGTTGGAAGCTGCTCGCAGCCAGTGCAGCAAAGGAACCAAGCCTTAAACCCTAAACTGCCCTAAACCCTAACCCAAAGGGTCCAAAGTACCTATATGGTAGAATGTAGGGTTTCTATAGTAGGAATTGTTATTATGATTTGGGAAAGTATCCACCATAACAGAACCTGGGACCCTTTGGGTAACCCTAATCCGAACTACAAGCCACCGAGGCATCAGCCGACCTCCCAAACCCAGGATGACACGTGAAAAATGGGGAAGTGTACCGAGGCAAGGAGATCAGCGTAAACCCATGGAGCTCCGGGAGCCACGACGATTCTAATTCTAATGAGGGAGGACGAAGCGATTTGATCTACAAGCTTCAAAGAAGTAGTAGTGCTATCCCACCTCACACTTATACTCTAATGTAGCCCAAGGTCTTTTTCTAAGGTCCTAATCTTACTCACCGAATGCTAGTAGGATACTAGCAAAAACACCAAAACCCTACCTAAAGGTCCCGAAAATACGAACTACTTGTCCGAATGATTCAAGTCTGAAACCCGAAGACCGCGTCAATCCCTGAAAGGGTTAAGGGTTAAGGGTTTCGGGAATAGGGTTTAAAGTTTAGTGGTTTAGGGATGAGGGTTTAGTGGCTTCGTGGTTTAGGGTTCAGGCTTAAGGGTTTAGGGATTATAGGGTTTAGTGGTTTAGAGTTGAGGGGTCAGGGGCCCTAAACCCTGAAGGACATGCAGCGGCAACTCCAAGAGCTCCGCGATGAGCTGGAAGCCCGAGAGGCCCGAAGAGCTTCCAAGACGAGAGTTTGCAGCTTTCCTTTACCGTCTTGCTTGAAGGGTGTTTCGAAGGGTTTCTGTAAAGGCTTATGGGGTAGGTGTTCCGACGACCTAGGCAGCTATATGATAGTCTTAGAACTTGAGGACTGCACGGATGTCTTGTTGCTAGTTGTTCATGCCTATGTTCGAACCCTAAACCCTAAATTCTGTTTAGCTCCGGGCCTGCAGTGTTTTGTACGGGCTACCGATACGTGGAGTTTTATTTATACGGGCTTCTACCGGTGATCCAAGGGTTCCATATCGTGGTAGGATACAACAAGGCTCATAAGCGGATAACCCCAAGGTAGCGTACATGTAACTCTACTTAGCCTCACTCCTCTGATTCTTTATTTCTGGTTTTGGGTTTTCCGGGGTTGTTCAAGGGCACGGGCTAAGCGCTTTGGCGGTTTTTGCAGGCTTTAGTAAGTCTAGTGATGGATAGGTTAGGGAGTGGTTTAGGGAGCACTGAGCCCACAAGAATCAACCGTAACCCTAAAGGGCTTTCCGTTCTGCACGCTGGGACTGCAGGATCTTTTGAGCCTCTATATTTCGTGCTGCTGCGTAAAGGTCCCACGACGGAACAGCTGTTGCCAGCAACACCAAGACTTTAGTTAATCCTTACCCTTACTTGGCAGAGCACTACTCCCAATCACACCAACCCACAGACACCCTAAGCTCCAAACTCAACAACGGTTGTATCACCCCCTATATATATACATATATATATATATAGTTAAAAAAGAGAGAGAGAGATAGAGAGAGAGAGAGATATATATATATATACACATACATACATATACATACATAGAAACAAGTTACTAGCCACAAAATACACCCAAATCCCTAGTGGATGTTGCTTACGCGTGAGAGCGAAATGGGGCTGCTCAAAACCGAACGGGTGGCATAGTGGCATTGTACTTTGAACAGAAATTTACTTGATTTCAGCGAAGACGAGAACACAACCAGTGTTTCTCCGGAGAGCATTTTGTTCAAGCCTTGTCTAGCTTAGCGCCCAAGTCATTTTGTGAACTTCTCGTCATGCGGGCCATGTGGAGTTGGTTGCTGTGCCTTGCAGCCGTAGTGGCTTTGCGGCCCGAGCATGAGATTCACGTGCACGGAACCGGGATGGAGGCTCACGATGCTGGGCACAAGGAAAAGACAGCAGATGCCGACCATGCCGACCAGGGATTTCCCACTCCACGTTGCATGGTGGCGAATCGAGCTGACGCGCCTCGCTTCAGAACAAGCTTGGTTTGGTTGTTTATGTTCCGGGATGGGGCTGCGGCTACGGGTCAGCATAGGGATGGGCTCGAGTGATTAGAGTGGGCAAGTGCCGGGATTGCTATGAAGCATAAGGGCATCTCCATATTTACCCATGATACCCAGCCATGCCAGCGTGATTGTTGATTGTGATTAAAGTGTACACCGACATGTGTTGTGTTGCTTGCTGCTGTTATTGACAACTACGTATATCGCCATAAATAGGGTGAAAGAAGCGGGGGCTTGACCACAGGCGAAAACCGCCTCGAAATGGACATCCTGCAAGGGCAAAGACGAAGCGAAATGCAAGTCAAGAGGCACCTGCAAGTGGCCTGGCTTTGCTGTAGGTCAGTTTTGTTTATAAGCCAGTATTTGCCATGCTGGTACCAGCATTAACTGCTATTGGCAGTAATACGTTTCATCCGCCATGTGGGGAAGAGTTTTTCCGGGCTCCTGAACAAATCCAAGGTGGTGCACTTCGTGGTGTGGCAAGGACGAAGTATGATGGCCAACACTTGACCTCAGGATTTGCCAGCACTTCGGCCTACGTAAGATGGGCTTCCAGCTGGTTCCAACCGCAGCCAATTGCCATGACTCCCCGTTCCCGAAAGCGTCCAACATTCGGTGCTTTCATGTAGACATGGTGGATGCGAAGAAAAGAGAGAGTGCAATGATGTGCAACGTGAGGCACCGGGTTCCGGGTCTAGGAGGTACACCGAAATGTCTTTGAATGAGGGTTCACGAACCACAGAGAGGGCACTCGAAGCTCCGATCCATAGCTCGGGCATCGCGACTGGGAGTTCTAAGGCTTAGGACTTATAGGGTTGAGAGTTGTTAAAGGGGCAAGGCTATATAGTAGTGTTTACTGGTTTCTGTGGGTCGTCCGGGCTTCAAGCGCTTCAAGTTCTAGTTCTTGCCTAGGTTTAGTGAGTGTTGTTTCAGGGTTGTGTGCAGGTTTGTTTTGTGTCCCATGGTAGTAAGGCATTCAGGGCTTCCGGGTTCAGGACCTCAAACGCAGACGGTTCGATTCCCGGAATTTCTACCTTTCCTTCTTTCAGAAGCAGGCAGCATTCTGAAATCCCCGAAAACCCTTGAGCCTTGGGTCTTAAAAAGACTTCACCGCAATGCCTGGTATGTGACTCTTATGTGATGTACGTTTGTGCGTGCGTAAGTAGTTGTATGGCGGAAGAAGAAAACTATGACTTATAGTCCCATATAATTAGAATTCTATATACCCAAAAAGCCCTGCTCTCATGATGAAGCCACCTTTTCTAGAAATCTAGAAACAAATATAGAGGCCTCATAGAAACCGTGAGTCAACCCTTGCAGGAATCCTTAGAAAAGAAGCCATGAGAAGCCCGAATAAATACCGATACTATTTCGTAGGCTTTCTAACATAGCTATGCTGATTAATACGTCATATGTGTGCAAGGCGAGCCATGAGAAGGAGCTGGCCGAGCAGCTTTGCTGACTCTTTTAGTGTTTCTTTGACGGTTTGGTTGTGGGTTCTGTTTGGGCTTCCTTTAGGGCTTCTTTTCGGATTCCTTTTAGGGTTCCTTTGGGGTTTAGGGTTTAGGGTTTTGGCAACTTTGGCATGATTCGGGCGGGCTAGGGGTGCAACCTTTAAGCCCTTCACGCCAGCACGAAATTAAGCCCCGCCTGCACGATAAATGTTGAGAGGTTGGCGTTCAGGGGCTCAAAGCGATTGGCAGGAATTTGTCTGTTCAGTGGGGTGGGCAAGAACAAGAATCTGCCAGAGCAAAGTGTCCAGGCACGAACGTACAGCTCAGGTTTAGGTTCCGGATGTTCTGGATTCAGCTTCTAGGTTTTTTGGAGTTTGGGGTTTAGGATTCCGCATGTTGGAGGAGTTTAGGGTTGGGATTCGCGGCTTTGGGATTGCTGAGCTTTAGGCAACCCGAACGAACTGTGTAGGAGTTTAGGGTTTATTTCAGGGTTTAGGGGTTGCAAGGCGGCTCGAATTTTCGGCGCCGGAGTTGCCTACAAGTTTAATTAAAAGCCTAGATCGCAACTGTGAAGTTATGAACAGTTGACCCCCAAACGCTAAACTTTTAAATCCCGAGGCCGAGAGCCAACCAACAGTCTGCCCAGATGGGGATGAACTTAGGTTTAGGGGTTAGGGGCAGATATGAGCCCTTGTTTTTGGATCTTTGATCCCCCTACCTCCATCCCATCTTTTGAGGCCGCCTCTGACTCCCGAACCGTAAACATTCCTAAGCCCAAATCCTCAACCCTTTTTCCTTGAGGCGATCCTTGACGCCAACCCCACAGCCCCTGAAACAACAAGAAACCTCCCCTCCCCTCCGCTCCTCCCCCAAAAAATGAAAAACAAATGAACATGTACTTGAAAAAACCTTAATCCCTAAAACCTAACCCCCCACATAAATGTATCACGCCGACTCCTGCACATGAATCCTCGCCTGGCTTGTCCGAGTTGTGAGAGTGTAAACCCTAAACCCGAAATCCCCTAAACCCTAAACCCTAGCCAGGCGGGAGGCAAAAAAAAACCCTAAACCCTAAACCCTGCATTGCGGGCTTGTCCTTGCTAGGTAGGAGGCAAAAAAATCCTTGAACAAAACAGCGAGCCCAGGAGCCGACTTGCCTTGTCGGCAGCGGAGGAAAAGCTCGGTGCGGCGACGGAAGCCCAGGTCCACAGGAGACCCCAAAGTCAAAACTGAAATCCTAATATAGGGGCCTTCAGAATTAGAATAGGGTTTTGGGACCGGTTATATAATAATAAGAATACTAATAATAATAATACTTATAATAATTATAATAATTATAATAAAGAATCCCCCCAAAAGTATTGGTAATTAGTTGGAGCCCTACATTGCCCTACATTTCACCCCTGAACTCGAAGCTCTAGACTGTGGGCCTGGTCCTTGCTGAAGCCTGCTAAGTAGGAGGGGGAAGAACTAAACCCTAAACCCTAAACCCTTAACCCTTAAACTCTAAACCGTCTAAACCCTATAGGCCCTTGAAGAGACGTAGTCTCTTCTCTTCGAGCAGGCCCTAACCCAAAGGCTCGTCCCCTCCAGGCAATGTCGCAGTCGTAACAACAGTGAGAAAAGGAGCCGTCAACAACAATAGGCCCTGCACTAAACCTTAAACAAAACCTAAACCCTAAACCCAGACCTAGACGTCACATTACCCTGCAATGCAGGCTCGGCCTTGCTACGTAGGAGGCAAAAAAGCCCAGACCTAAACTCTGAAGCCCTAAGCCCTGAACCCTAACAGGGATTTCATGGCCTTCCTCTACGCAGAACCTGAAATCGGCCTAGGGTTGCGGCCTGCGTTCGGACGGCTACCTTCAAGGCTGTATGAGCAGCATTGGTAAGGCACTTCGAGGTGCTGCTGCTGAACACCATTATTTTCCGCACATGGTCCGTGCGTGCTAGTATGATTCAATCAAGTATATATATATATATATAT